ATATCTATTATTAATTAATAATTTGAGAAACTGAACTATGTGAAGAATGTGGTATCAGGATTGGAGGAGAGCTCATCAGTAATCTATATGATACACATGACACAACCTTGCTTGCAGAAAGTGAAGACTTGTACGTCTTCAATATGAATTACACCACTACATGTTTTGTTGAAAACAACTGAACCAATAGGTATCATAATAGATGGAGAAAAGATTGACGTTGTAAAATATTCAATTTCACTTGGATCCACAATGAACACACATAGTAACAGGAGTCAAGAAATCAACAGATGTGCTTCATTGGGAAAATGTGCTGTCAAGGACCTCTCCAAAGTGCTGAAGAGCAATGATGTGTGTTTAAAGACTAAGCTGTATCTGAACCAAGCCACAGTATTTTCAATTGCTTCCTATACCTCTGAGGGTTGGACAATGATGTCTCTGAATTTTGATGATGGCAAAAAAGTACTGAATATCCTGTGGAATTTCCAAAGAACAAGTCTATCTTGAATGTGTAACTAGGGTGCTCCTTAAAGGCAAGGGTGGTGAAACTCATTCTGATACACTTTTAGTAGGTTAACAAGAGGGTCAGTCACTAGAAAAAAAAACACCCCATTATGATAGAAAAGTAAAGTGTCAGAAAAAGGCAGGACAACCATCTCCTTGACACAGTGAATGTAACAATAGGCTTGAGCATGTTGGAGATTATGAGGATAGTTCAGGGCAGAGCATGGTTTAAATCAGTTGTTCATTGGGTTACTGTGAATTGTAGTTGACTCAAAGGCACCAACTAAAAGTATTCATTAAACTGAACAAAAATGAATTAAGTGCACCAGTCAAGAGTAAGAGTAGCATAATGTAGAAGAAAGTGGAACTTAATATGTTGTCTAAAAGAGATTCACCATAAGTACAAAGATGAAGGTAAATTAAAAATAAAAATATGAGAAAATTAAATAAAGCTAATGTTGCTGTTGTGTACCGTCGAGTTGGAACTGACCCAGAGCTGACCCTCTGGAGGGTATTCAGAAGCAGTTAAATGCATAGGAGGAGAATGCCTATCCTACTCCTGTGGAGCAGTTGGTGGCCTTGAACAATGTGCTTTCGGGATTGAACGGTAACTTTATAAGTTGTTTGTAAGTCACCAGAGCTCCTAAGATAGCCAACAAGAAAAAAGGAGGTGTAGCAATATTAATTTCTGATACAATAGTCAATGAAACACAGATAGACATTTCTCTGGTACTCTTTGCTTTCAGCCAAGATCCATCTGACATAAGCTATAATATCCCTAGTGCCATGCCTCTTCTAAATCCAGCCTGCAGTTCAGGCAGTTCTCTGTTGATGTGCTTTTTTAATGATCTTCAGCAATATCTTGCTTGCATGTGTACCAGATGAATTTCTATTTGTGTTTCATTGACTATGAAAAGGCATTTAACTGTGTGGATCAAATAAAAATGTGACTGACCTTGAGGAAAATGGGAATTCCAGCACACTTGACTGTGTTTATGCGAATCCTATATCTGGACAGGAAACAGTCCTCAGAACAGAGCTAGGAAATACTGCATGGATCAAAATCAGGAAAGGAGTGCATCAGAGATGCATCCTGTCTCCATACCTTTTCAATCAATAGGTGGAACAGATCATCTGGGAGGCTGGACTTTATGAGGAGGAATGTGGCATCAGAATTGCCGGAAGACTCATCAACAACCTGCTTGAGCAGATTGCCAAATGTCACACTGGTTGGTAAGAAATCTAGCATGTTTCCAGACACTGTAAACCACATAGAGGATACCGCTCTCTTCTCTTTCAAGGCACCTAGTAGATTCGAACCAACTGTCTTTGGTTTGGCATCACAACTCCTTTAATAGACCAAAAGAATGGGAAACTATTCTACAAGCTCAATGTTACATTAAGCCAATTAAAGAACAACTCATATTTAAAATGCACAAAAGTCCAGAAAAAGGATAGGGTAGGGAGAAGGGAGGAGGGGAGGTGGTAGAGGATGAAGACTGGAGGATATCATCAGGACAACAGAGTTTGGTGGGCATGGGTGTGGTGGTGAAGGAATTAGGAAAGATTCAATGGGGCTCTGAAAAGATGGGTTAATAGTAGGTATAGGTCAATGATGATTAATTTTTAAAAAACACAATGTATACAAATAAGCATCTGAATAAAATATGAATGAAGGAATGTCTGAAATGCAATGTACATGAAGATACACAATGCATATGAATTTTGTATACAAACCAATTTAAAAATAAGTGAAGGGAAAGACCCTCCCATATATCCATTGTTCATTGCAAAAGCTATAGGACAAGCTAAAAAGAATAACTGCTGATTTGTGGAGGGAGTTTAGTACTAGTTTAGCACGTAATTTCACTCTTCTGATGTTTACAATGTTCCCTTCTCTAACTTCTCTGCTCTTTCATTCATGAGCTCAATTTCACAGATAGCAGAGTGAGGAAGGAGAGGGAATTCTAGATGTCTATGTGTCTGTGCACATATGTGTACTGAGGAAAGTGATTAAGTGAACATGTGAGATGAGAAGATGTTTACAAAGGTCATGGTAATTCTTAGCAGTTCACAAAAAATTCCTGGAATCAAAGTCAGTCCCAGCTGTTTGTTCTAGGTCAGTGTCAACCTAAGTGGCCTCTAAAGATCAACACAACTTTCTCTCCACATTAGATTCTCTCAGAAGCCTCAACTTGAGGATGAAGTGAGAAGGAACAAAGCAAAATTTTTTAAAACTCAAAACAACTAAGAGAGAGAAAAACAGAAAGGGAGAAAAGGAGAGCAGCAAAGGATGTGAAAGTGAGAAAGCAAAGAACCACTGAAAAGTAGAGGAAG